AAAGCTCCTGTCAGCCCATGGGCTGATGGAACAGTGTAAGCCCAACAGCCTAGATTGAATCTGGGCCGATGCAATGATCAGAGTTGTATTTTAATTTTTTTTGTACAAATCCAAATCACTTGAAATTTGGAACGTCTATTCTTAAAAAATAGTGAAATCTAATAAAAATATAAACTTTTTTTGCATAAAATAAATTGATCAAAATACGCCTGAAAAGTTCCAGGGGTATTTTGGTCAACTTATTTTATATGAATTATTCTTTTAATATTTTTTTTAGGTGCATCTTGATGAGTAGAGTTGTTACTCTAAATTTCATGTTATTTGGATTTATATAAAAAATATTAAAATTATATTACCGAAATACAATCCTAACCGTCAGATCGGTCCAAATTCAATCTGGGCCGTTGGGCTTATACTATTCCATCAGCTAGTGGGCTGACCCTAGCATCTTCCATATATATATATATATATATATATTCTGAATGTTCTCTTGTGAAATATTCTACTTGCTCGTTAATAGGTGTAGGATGTGGAATGCGTCGAATATCATGTTAAGTTGTTAACTAATGGAACTATAATTGTCTCTTAAGTTATGGTGAGATCTTTATAACTATCCTATAATTTTATTATGTGGAAGTGCTGCCTTTATTATTTTTCAATTTTATATCATTTAAATATGCAACATAGTGATCTTGGGGGATACCTAACCTTTTAGTTAATTGCGGCTTCTCTTGCTCCTTAAAGCAGTTCCATTTTTTTCAGTGGTTTTTGGATTTGAATTTCACTAAAGAACTACACATATGCAGAGCATTAAAGAAATTTCCTAATTTGGTAGCTGATATATAATAAGTGAGATGCTAACTCATTGGTTCTTTCAGGTATGGAGTTGACTTGGCTCAAGGGATATTAGAACTGCACACAAAGGGGGTGTTGGTGCTTAATCTTAAACCTTTTAACTTCCTTTTGAATGAACTTGACCAAGCTATTTTGGGTGAATTTGGGATTCCGATGCTCCTCCTTGGAATTTCATTGTCAAGTTCCAATGTGTCTTTGAGACTTGGTACACCAAACTATATGGCTCCAGAACAATGGGAACCTGGTATTAGAGGGCCAGTTACCCATGAGACTGACTCATGGGGATTTGGTTGCAGCCTTGTCGAGATGTTGACTGGCGTTGAGCCTTGGTGTGGGAAATCAGCTGATGAAATATATCGTTTAGTTGTGATCAAACAAGAAAAACCAGAAATTCCAAGTGGTTTGCCTCCTGCTGTTGAAAATGTAGTTCATGGATGCTTTGAGTATGACTTGCGTAATCGGCCTTTTATTGCAAATATTCTGGAGGCTTTGAAAAGGTGCTTTGGTTTGTTTCCTTGCCTACTTACTGCATGATTTGGGCATGAGATCACATTGTGACTTTCTTGCCCATGGACTGTGACATTTATAAATTATTTCCTTCCATTGCTCTTATCATTCTCTGAATCCATTTAGAATATATACTTCAAAATGAGATTATTCTAGGACTATGCAAGCTTATTTTGTTCTGATTTTCTTCTAATATATCTATCATCCTAGACTAAACAAAACATATGAAAAATTACTTTACTATATTATATTATATCATGTATTTATTTATTATTAGATTTTTAGTTTCCTTTCTTCTCACTGTTGGATTCCTTAATGCATGTACATACTGGTGTACCCAGAATTGTACACCACGGAGAAACTTAAGGATAGCATGTTATTATGAGACAATAGAACAAGATTGAGAAATCATATGGTAGTATCATTCTCCATGAGAAAGTGTGTTGAAAATTTCTCAAGAGTTGCATATCCATTGGTTTCTTAAGCCAGATAAAAAATGGGATTGCATTGCACAACTACTAGATCCTATTTAATGTAGACGACATCAAAGTGTAATTATCAATATCAAGGATTCAAAAAACGGATCGCCCGGCGCCTAGGCACCCAAGACCCTAAACACCACATGCTTAGGCCTAGAGGGCGGATGTACCTGGGTGGGCACCTAGGGCCGTGAGCTCTTTTCCAAATTTCTTTAGTATACATATGTTATGGGGTTTATTTTTAACCTCTTTAGAAAAACACCTTCAATCTCTTTGCTATACTTATTTCTAAGAATCAAACGTATTTTTGGTGGATTGAAAAAGTTTCCTAAACTTTTATTCTCATTGGAATTATTTTTAGGGTGCCATTGGAAGTATTAGAAGAATTTTTGCCTTTTTGGACTATTTTGTTGTGTGGTTTTATACTTTTGAAAGTCAATTTGTTGAAGACTTGGAGAGTTGGAGACTTGGATGTCATTATGGTTTATGGATATGGAATATGGAGAAAGGGAGAGTTGGAGACTATCAAACTATTACTCTTACATGGCTTATTAGACTCTTAAATGTTTTGTATGGTTTGAAACTTTGAATTTTGAAATGTTGAACAAGTTTATTCTCAACAAGTGATATGTCATACTTTTGTATATAAAAAAGTATATTACAATATTTTCAAATGCAATAAATTACAAAATTGACACAAATATATTCATATATGTGCGTTTGGACAGCAAATATATATGTATATGTTAAAAATGTGTACTACAATGCGCCTAAAGTTAAATTTGTACTATAGGGCATCTGCCTGGGCGCCAGGCCTGCAGCCTAGGGGCTGCCGACTGTTTTTTGAAACCTTGATCAATATAGGACTAAACACTAATCACTACCCGTGAGAGTTTTACATATTACTTATTGTATTATGTTTCATTTTCATAATACTCTGACGTGCACATTTAAGAATTCCAATTCAGGTTGTTTTTTGTTTTTATGATATTGTTTTTCCATGTCTTTAGACCAGTCATAGTATAATGCAACTTTTGTTTGGAATTGAAATATCTTGTGTTCTTACGATATTCCATATACGTAACCTTGAGCCCACTTCAAAATTTTACGCCGAGAGGTTTGGAATACGCTGATTTGCTGAGAGATTGCTGGTAGTTTCGCTAGTGTTCCTTTTTCATCAATGGTTTAAAGAAGAGATCCATGTTTTTCCATATCCATTAAGTTTGATGGTTTTTCCCACCCCTTTCCATAAAAATTGCAATTGCCTAGCTCGATTTCTTTTTAGTCGAATGAACATTACATCCATTTTGAGGTTCTTTGGATTGTTGCCATCTGAGTTCTTTATGATTCAGCTGAGTTGTCATATGGGTAGTTCCAATAATTAAGTTCATCTACCATAAGGGTGATCTTGACCCTCTCTGGTAGATCATTTCATTAGAAGTCTTATGTGCTCATGGTTTAGTCTCTCTTCATGTACTAATTTCATGATTTTGTTGTTTCCATGTTTACAGTCCGACTACTGTCTATGGTGATAGCAAGTGGATCGCTCTCACAGACAAAAACTTTGACAAGCAAAGTGGCAGGAACCCCACCGAGTGGTTCCTTTCAAAGGACCAACTCCAAGAGGGTGACATTGTGCGTTCCAGAAAGCCTTCCAACTCTTGTGGACAAGAAAATATGGATATCCCTGGAGGCAAAGTTGTGAGCCCTGAACGTGATGGTTTTGTCCTAGTTAGGGTTCACAGCTTCCATGACCCCTTGAGGGTTCACATTCACACTCTCGAAAGAGTGACCTCGGGATTTGCTTCAGGAGATTGGGTTCGATTGCGCAATGAGGACAACAAGAAACAATCTCCAATAGGCATTCTTCACTCGATTGATCGAGAGGGCAATGTGCTTGTTGGGTTCATAGGAATGCAAACTCTATGGAGAGGCCACTGCACTGAGCTTTTGATGGCTGAGTCCTTTTGTGTTGGTCAGTTTGTCAGGATTAAGGTGAGCTTGTTGGCTCCAAGGTTTGAGTGGCCTCGAAAGAGAGGTGGAGTTTGGGAAACAGGCAGGATTTGCCAAATTCTTCCTAATGGTTGCCTTGTGGTGAGGTTCCCTGGTAGGCTTTATTTTGGGGAGGTTAGTGACTCTCTTGCTGATCCATCGGAGGTCGAAATGGTGAGTTTTAGCAATTGTGTTGGGGTGGTTAAGAAATATCAGCACCTCGAAGACTATCATTGGGCTGTGAGGCCTTTGGTTATTGCATTGGGTTTATTAACTGCATTGAAAGTGGGGTTATTTGTGGGGAAAAGTGTGCGGAGGTCGAGGAGGAAGAGGGGTGGCATCAGAGGTGGTGCATCTGGTCAGGTTGATGTGAGAGATGGAGATGGTGGTGGCAACCCTGTGTGGCTTCCACCAAATGTGGCTCACATCCTTTTCTGTTCTGGTTGACTCTTGAAGGTATTTGAATATCTCTCTCTCTCTCTCTCTCTCTGCACAGGGTACCTGCCTCTGCCTGTCTATAAGTGCAGTTCAGCAGTGTGACTCTTATGTAATAGTCTTGGACTTGTGTTATCTGGTCAGGAATCTCAATGGCCTAGTGTAAATATGCTTTGCAAATTCTAACTTATTACTGAAAGTTGAACTCTTTAACTTATAGTTTGAACTATTATATACTGTTATATATGAAGTTTGACAGTTGGATGCAACAAAGTTCAACAAATATAATTTGGGTCTCTTTAGTCCATGACACATTTTTAACTGCCTGGTATCACATCCATCAGCTAAAGGTATTGTGACCCTACAGCAAATATAAACGGTCTCATTGTGTACTTATGTTGTTTTTAGGGTTCCGTTCTTTTATGCATAGACTTGGACCTTCTAAAGTAAGAATGACATGAAATTGTCACGAAATGGTAGTTCATTTCTCATGTTAATATCTTCAGTTTACCTGGAACCCTCGTCCACCAAGTGGACTGGTGGGTGGGGGATCTCCTGCGTCTTTTAACATGATGAGTACGTGTAGTAGGTAGGAATAGAACCCGAGATGTTATATGTTGTGGTTGCGCCTTGGATCCAAGTGTGGGTGGCATGATGTGTTCTAGTGAGCAGTCTGCCTGATGTTTCCCTTGTTTTTGTGATTTTTTTACTTGGTTATTCAGTGCAAGGTAACTAGTTAGGGGGGTATACTTATAACTCTCTCACTTCAAAATAAAAACACAAGTGAAAATGGTTCAATTAAAAATCTACTCCAAGACTTGATCTCGGATGTCCATTTTAATGGATGGGATTGTAAGAATTCTGAAGACGTGATTTTTTTTTTCTTTTGAAAATTGATGTAGGGGGGCACAAAAAATAGAAAAGAAAAAATAATCTGCTGGCTATGCGTGCGTGCTCTTATACGAGTGGGTGGGTGACTGCACATGCATATGCGTGTGCACAGTTGTCCCGGAGACTTGACCTTGAGTGAGCAGGAACATCACCCTGTCGTTCAGTGTTGTCATGGTGGGAGAAATGGGATCTTCCCTGGGAAGGAGGTAGGGAAACGGCCTTTATGACATATAGAAAAGTTATTTTGGTCTATTAAGGGTGAAGATTTTAAATTTTTTGTTACCTCTAGTCCGTATAAAGAAGGTGGGTTGTTTTAAGTATGTAGATAACATAAAATTTTGTCATATCTAATCATGAATTGAATCTTGAACTTATATTGGTGATCTTTGATCTTATTAAGGTATCACCATTGGTAGAGAAGAATGGAAAAAACACCAAATCATTGGATAAGACTTGGAAGATGATAATGAAGATTATGATGATTAGTAGCAGCTAGACTATTTTGCAGTTAAATCATCGTAATTTCTTTAATCAGGGTGAACGCTAAAACCTGAGTCAATGTGCGATGTTTAGTTGCAATCCCATTTTGTGACACTAGCATTCGACCTGGATTGTTGAGAGAAACTTGGAACGAATCAAAAGAAAGTACTGAATTTTACGAATCAAAAAGAAAGTATTGAATTTTGGATGTCTCCCTAGTAAGGTGCAGCCCCAAAATCCAAGGAGTTGAAATCACCCTAGCATCTCTTAAAAGCCTCTTTAAGGTGCAACTGCTATGAACAATGTTTCTGAACTCGTTGGGAGTCCACTCAGTCTGGCCGAGTTGGGTGTACAGCTTGAGGGTATAAAAACAATTTTAGAAAAAATCTAATTTTTTTTTTTAAAAAAAATCCTCTCTCAAATCCATTTTCATTCCCTCCCCATTCTCTCCCCTTCGCTAGCATCTTTCCCTCAAAATAGATCCTTTCCCAAAATTCCTCTCTCTAGCATCTTTCCCCCAAAACACTGGTTCTCTCATGCTCTCATCCATGGTAAGACCTTACATACACTGATCGATCAGCTTGTTGCTTATTATACATTGATCCATGGGCTTTTGAAAAGAAGAATTGGAGAAGCCCTACGCACCCTCGTCTCCCCCAACAAAAGCAGTCTTGTCATCTCTACAAAGGCCACAATCCCCCACGGGATTTAACAAAATAATCGGTAGAGAGAGAGGGAGAGATACAGGTAGAGAGAGAGAAAGAAAGCTGCTGAGATTGGGGAAGAGAGGGAGAGAGGAAGAGGGAGAAGAGGGGGAGAGAGAGCTATGCGCGTCTTGTTTTTGCCCCGTGCCCTCTCTTGGGCACGTGGCCATCTAAACCATCTTTCCATTTCAATTTTTTTTTATTTTGGGATTTTAGTTTTTATTTTTTAGTTTGATTCTCAACTAAAAATAATAACTTTAAATTTTCAAAAGGTTATTTAAGAAGGGCAAGCTTTCTACGCTTCCTCTACAACATAAAACTTATATACTTCTCTTTATCCAAGTGTCTATTCTGATTGGAGGATTAAGATTGCCCCAATCACAATGTCACGTCTCTACACTATTTTATTTTATTTACTTTTATTCTACAAACAATTTTAACACCAAATTTTATATGTCAAATCCTTTATTAAACTTGCACTAGTGAAAAATATAAAAACAATGTTTTCAATAAAATAAAATAACCAAAATACCTTTGAAAGTCTCAAGGGGTATTTTGGTCATTATATTTTATCGAAAAATTATTTTTAATATTTTTTTTATAGGTGCGCCCCAATGAGAAGATGACATGTACTAAATTTCATATTCATACAATTTGTATAAAAAAAAATAAAAATAAAATACTTTGAGATGTCGGATGTAAGATCAAACGGTGCCTGGCTCTCTTGATCAAAATTGGACAGCTGGATGGTAGGGGCAGCATAGATCTTCAATGTTGTAGGGGAAATATAGAACCTTTCTTATTTTAGAATCACCATACTAATGATGAATTTAGAATTTAGTACTCCAAAAGTTTTGACATTAAACGCTTTTATAAATATAATAAATTATATTAATAGTGAATTATTTGAAAATTTTGAGAAAGGCATTTTTATAATTTTAATTCACCTTTAAAGTCTATTCACCATTAAAAAAGTCAAATGAATATTTTGAATTTAAAATTGAGTTTTAGAGATATTTTAAAAAGACCAAAATACTCTTTTTAAAGTACATGAAATATTTATTATAAAAAGTCATTTTTGACTATGCAAGCGTATTTTATAATAAAAAATTTAGAGTAATCTATTCTTGGTTTACCATTAGTATGGTGTATTCTAGAATTACCATTTTTTAAATAACAAAAAGTTAATGTTAATTTTTTATGTAGTTATAGGTGCTCTGATCCCGATTGAGAAAACCATGGAAAACCAAAGTCCAATAGGACATCCAACCTAAACCTTGAACCAATCATGACCAAAGCGAATCACGCCCCAACACCCAAGTTACCTGACAGTCTGGAATCTTGGAAGACATCCTGAAAAGGCCCCAAAAACGAGACAAAATATGAAGTAAACAGTTTAGAACTAAGGACGACCAGTTTGGAAGCAACAACACAACAAGCAGAGCTCACAAGATTGAAAATTTCATTGATGAGAGTCTTAATGGCGTCAGAGAAACAGTAACTCGGACCACCAAATCGACGCGCCGACAAACACCTCAGGATGCGGGCACTGACGGGTGTTGACGGAAGCCAACGACTTGCCACTATCAATATCGTCGGCATCTGACTGGTCAAATCAGCCATCAATCATCCGACCACCAGGATGTACGAACTGGGCATAAGATTCCTCAGTAGGGTGACAGCCTCGGTAATGTTGTTGGCCTCAGATTCATCTAATGGAACGTCAAATTACCCAACATTGGAAATATCGCACTGAATGTTTGTTGACTTCAACGAATTTGGCACTTGTGTCAATGCTATTTCCACCATCGACAATCTTTGATTGGTCGGACCATCGCCTAGAGTTGGTTCTAGAGAAGGACACATGACAATTACCAATTGATAAAGGTTCTTGTTGTGTCAATGGATGTGTCACTGTCATGACCCTGTCCCTTGACCCCTATCATACATGCCAGAGGGCAACAAAGTGTAGGATCACGACCAGAGGATAGCGAATACCACTCAAGTGGGAGCGCGTTCAATGCTTTTTAGAAAATGATAATCACAACAAACCACAAAAAAAAGATAAAAACTCCAACCTAACCACAACAAAGGCATCTTATTACAAAAAGGAGCGTAACTCCCAAATCATAGAGAATTTCAATATAGTTCTGAAACTATTTTTGAATTAGACATACCCATCGTCTATTTAAAATAGTTCAAGATCATTTGGACACCATTTAGTTAGTAAACAGTCCATTACAAAAACATGTGCAGTTTCTGGAAATTCACTGCAACCACTAAAGTAACACATTCGCACAAAAAGGGGTATTTTTTCAAACCATGGGGAATTTCAACATTGCCCTAGCACTAAATTTGAAATACACACACTCATCTTCCATTTAAAAGTAGTTTGAAGTCATTTGGACACCGTTTGGTCAGTAAATAGTCCATTACAAAAACATGTACAGTTTCTGGAAATTCACTGCACCTACCACAGTGACACATTTACAAAAAAAGGGGCATATTTTTCAAACCATGGGGAATTTCAATATGGTCCCAACACCAAATTTGAAATAGATACACTCATATTCCATTTAAAAGTAGTTTGAAGTTATTTAGACATCGTTTGGTCAGTGAACACTTCATTACAAAAACATGTAGGGTTCTTGAAATTTCACAGTAAGGTTTTGGCATACATTATAGAATGATCAAGAACTTCCAAATCAGAATGGGTATTAACACAAAATCTTGTTCATCTTAAATTAGATACGCAAGGGTACTTTTCCACAATTTTCCATAGCCAATCAGGAGTATTTTCATGCTCAATTTATCATGCTAATGAGAACCACATTCCTGAGAAAACAAGCATATCTAACATAAATTTCATAACATGCAACCACATTTCATTTCACAATTCACAAGTATACTCAAGCTTAGCCTCATGCCTATTTTCATGCTTGCATAACTAAAGACATACAAGGTGTTTGATCCACGTACTTGGTGTGTAATGGTGTCCCCAAATCCCTCACATAGCCCCCCTTGAAGTTCACCCTACGTTCTCCCACAATGACTAGAAAGGACTGGAATTTGGCTTTCAAGGGTGAGAAATGAGCATGGCGTGGGGGAAAGAGAGAGAAAGGCTTAAATAACTCAAGGATGGGAGGTGGCAGCTGTTAGTGGTATAAAACCAATGGGCTACAAATACAATCTTTTAAAAACTTTCCATTGTATAAAAACTC